AAATTTACTAGTAATTTTAACCTTAATGGTGTACCTGCAAGCCGTACCCAATTCCCTATACAAAATGCATTTGCTCTGACTGTACATAAGACTCAAGGCCTAACTCTTTCGGATGTATCGTTAAGTTTAGATAGCCAAATATTCGAAGCTGTCCAAGCCTATGTAGCGTTGAGTCGTTGCTCTAAGTGGGATAATGTAAAAATTCAATCACTAAGCCGTGATGCTTTTATAACAAACCCGTCAATGATAAATGAATATAGAAGACTAGAACTTAAAGCTCTTGATCCTTTACCATTAAATACATAAAAACCCCTACAATACCAAAAACTATTCAAAATAATAACTTCACGATTACTGCCTTTCAGATTCCCAGTAACTAAAAAAAACTTACATTTTTGATCTGATTATTTTTAAATTATCAAATAAATTGATCCTATTATAATTTATTCATTGAATACTTCGAATCTGGCATAAAATAAATTCAAAGTGTCCGTGTAATTGATTTGGTATGACAAATCAACGTAACTACAAAATTGGCCGTAACGAAATATTAGCATAGTTAGTAATAGTTTTTTTCTTATTCGATCACATGTTAACATGTTTATGTATTAAACAAATATTTTCTTTAGATACAAAATAGCTCATAACACAGTAATATAAAGATCTAAATATCTCTTTTATTAACAATTCGTTCTCTCCTTGTCCGTAATTGTCGAATCGTAATTGCATACACAGTGTAACTTTACATATCGTAACCAAAATTTCGGTAATAATAAGAATTATGCGTTGCAATGAAACAGTTATGATAAACTGATTAAATGCCTAACTCCAAATATCTTAAACCTCGTACTTCTGCAACGTAATGAACTATAATAATCTCCTAACATATCAATTAAAGTCTTCAACCCTAACGTTCAGAATTAACCTTACTTGTGTCATATAACTATCATGTCCTTTATTATTTAATTAATTTCCTTTTCTGTTATATCTAAACAGATCACTAATTCTCCTACTATATCTAAAATTATTCATAACAATTATATCTTACTATAATCTAATATATTTTGTCAACACAGGCGGGCGACTTCGTCGCCCGCTGAATCTGCAATTACTAGTTACTATATAAAAAACCTTAATCAGTAATCATTGATATTCTACTTTGCCACTTAGTAAAATATCAGGTAATTGTGATGAATTAAGGATGTGAGGATTAAATAGTAGTACTTATTTATTATGTATCGAAGGAGACATACTGCCCCAAAGGGACAACACGGCCTTTATTTATAATAATATTTAATGTTCGATAAATTCAATATATGCAAAATTCTAATTTATTCCATAAATTCTATAAATTACATATATTGAATTGATTGAACTTTTTTATTGCTATCGATTACACAACGCCAAATTGGCTCAGAGTCGTTAACGTAAATTGTATATAGGTAAGTTAAAAAGAATATTACAGTATGTATTATATTATTTACTTGATTTATTATTAGTAAGCGAGAAGAAGTTATTTATTATTATTAAGGGAGATAAGAATGAGTTGTGTTCTTTATTAGTTTAAGCATTGTATTTATATATATTATATCTTTCAAGGGCTTCGAACCCAGATCCACAGTCTCAAACCACGAACTATCTCAAACCACGATTTTGTGTAAAACCCACAAATTGTAATATAGGAAATTTCAACTATTTTTCGTAACACCGGTCACGTTACACCGCAAACCTGGATCGGATTCAGGGCTCATATACATACCGACTTAGGGTATTGTCTAACATCGGTTTAATTACAAACATACGGAGATATAAACCGATATTCATTTAAAAATAGACATATTTTTGCCTATCTTCGAATTATCGAGTTTGACTAGTCACTTTTTAATAATATTTGTACAATAAAAATAAAAAGAATTATCACAATATTAATTAATAAAAATTTACCAATAAACATTAGAATGGAGGAGGAATATGGAATTCCCAGTTCGAGCTCAACTGTAAGAGTATAAAAAAAAATTTTTTTTAAATTATTAGTGTGCATGCTAAATTTTATCATTATTTTTAGTCTGCAAGTTCTAACAAAATAAACTTGAAGATTGAAGATGATAAGGCTGTTATTGATCGTGTTAAAGAGTTTATGAAAGATTTTAAAGAACCATCAAATTTATATGGTTTTAAACATTTAATTGAAGACCTTGAAATTAAACCATCTGCAAAATTATTAGAATTATTTGTTGACGCACTTTTATTACTCAGTGATTCTTCTTCATTTAAATGTTATACAATTGACACTATCCCACGTTTAGAATTACATCTTCGTACCTGGGTTGAAGTTTTAGAATTAGTGTTTTATTCTCCTACCGTATTAACTCGCGAAACTCGTGATAAACTCTATAGTAATTTGGATAGTTTTGTTGACATTCATTATCGGACAACTGAAGTATTTAATCAGGGTATTAATCATAGCTTTAAGCCTAAATTTAAGTCCAAGGAGATTAACAT